GGGGCGATAGAGTTTCCCTGGTGTTGGCCAGAGTGGCCACCAGGGAAAGCTGGGGAGGGCTAGCCTCCCACTAGTTCGCATTAGGGGGCTACACAGCCCTTAATTCGAACTAGTAAATTTGAACTAGGCTTAATCCTCGTGGAATGAGGATTACCTAGTTCGAACTAAGCGCTCCGTTAGTTCGAATTAAATTCAAACTAACGGAGCGCTAGTGTAGCGCCTATGAAAGTTAGTTCGAACTAACATCCGTTAGTTTGAACTAACTTTGTAGTGTAGACATACCCAATGTGTGGTGGAGTCAGTGGTGATACCAGCCCCACAGAGGAGGTAGGCAGGACTTGGGCAAGGAGACAGGCAACACCAGCCCCAAGTAGGGAGCAGAGGGGCAGAGCTTGGGTAAGCAGCTCAGGCCCATTCTGCATGGGGATGGAGAGCAGCTCGGCCAAACAGCAATGCCTGACCCACACGGGGAGGGAGTTGGGAAGCTCAGGTGAGTAGCTTGGGCCAGCTCCACAGAAGGGAGTGTGGGAACCTCAGTTAGCCCCAGGCGGTGTCTTATTTTCCCTTTAGAAAGTATGGTTGCCCTTTGGATGAAACACACATGAAATGCATTTTTCACTTTCGTGCAGACTTCTGAAGATGTTCCACAACGGGTCTTCAAAACAATAAAGGATTTAATATACAACTATGAAAAGCCAAATCAAGGACTAATCATCAATCTTCGCTACCCAGTAAAGAGACCAAAGCCCCCAAGGAGAGTAAGACACTCCAGGGTAGTTGTGGATGAAGAGTATGATGGTAAGAGATTAATTGCTATCTTTTTAACCTGGTGCTGCACTGACAGTTCTGTGAGTTCCCCTCTCTTTTCCTCAGGTCACAGAGAGCCCAGACAGCAGTTCTATGTATTTCACTCAGCCCTTGAACCACGTTGAATCACATTTAGAAGTGAAAAGGGAGCTCTGGCAGCCTTTTAACCTACAAATAAGGGTGGCAGTTAGTAACAATATACAGGCAGTCCCTGACTTAAGTGGATCCGACTTACGTCGGATCCCTAGATACGAACGGGGTGAGGCAACTCCCGCACATGCGCAGCAGCATCCCCGGGGCTCGCTCACCTGGGTCCTAGGATCCTCCTCCTCCTCGGGCCGGCTCCGACTGGGGTCCCGCAGAGCTGCCGGGCAGAGGAAAAGTGCCTCCCCACGCCCGCTGCCCACGCTGCCGAACAGCAGACAAAAGCAGCCTCTCCGCCCCTCCTCCCCCTATACATGCTGGGCTCCCTGGGCAAACAAAGACTCCACCAAAACAAACAAAGTGCTGGCCTCATTGTGTTAGCAAAAAAGGACCCTCCTCCTAGAACCCTGGGTGGTGTGTGGAAATAAAGCTATTAGCTCAAAGCATGGTGCAGAGCTGTTTGGTATTTGAACAGCAGACAAAAGCAGCCTCTCCGCCCCTCCTCCCCCTATACATGCTGGGCTCCCTGGGCAAACAAAGACTCCACCAAAACAAACAAAGTGCTGGCCTCATTGTGTTAGCAAAAAAGGACCCTCCTCCTAGAACCCTGGGTGGTGTGTGGAAATAAAGCTATTAGCTCAAAGCATGGTGCAGAGCTGTTTGGTATTTGATGAGTTACTCCTTTAGTCCTGAGTTTGTCACAGGGACAGAAATAGATGTGAAATCTTCTGAACAGGGGAACAGACAGCAAAACAAACATTAGAGGGGAGTTAACCTTTCCCTATGCTATCCAAAACTAAAAAAAATGTTTGGCTAGAGTTTCCCCTACAAAATATGTACCAGTTCCGACTTACATACAAATTCAACTTAAGAACAAACCTACAGTCCCTATCTTGTACGTAACCCGGGGACTGCCTGTAATGGCAACTCTTAGAACTGGTGAAGACATGTGAAAATCAGTTCAATCGATGGGTAAAACTGAGGCACTCACAAAGTTTGAGAAGTCATCTAAACTTTGTAGCATGTCACAGTGAGAGTCAAGAGTGATACTTATAATTCTTGGTTCCCACTCAACCTCCTGATAGTTATAGTCTTAAGCACTACTAGTATGGGCTGGATTTGAACCCATGAGTTAGAAGAAATATTCTGTATCATCCAGTACTATATGCTTGATTTTACTCTTGGAAATTTAAACTTGCAAAAAATTGAAAAGAGAAATTACACATTCTGCCTAGCTGATCAAAATTCTACCAGTGACATTAGCTAAATACTCCCATAATGATGATGGGGTCAAAGGCATATTTAATTACTTTGATGGAGTTTGGATTTGATGTGTAATGTTTTAAAATAATAAAATAAATAAAAGTATTGCAATTATGCATTACTCTTGTATAGTTATGTATTATATAGTATAGTTCCTGTAAAGTGCTAAATAAGTCCCAATATTTCAGTGAGAGCCCCCCCCCCGGCTCTAAATTTCCTTCATACCAAAAATGGCACAAACAAACTAAATTATCTTTGAGGCTTAGGGGAGAAAATATAATGTAACAACAGATTCATAGTTTTCTTTTGCCTTGTGGTCTAACATTATAAACAGCCTTAAATCTAAACTATCTGGAAAATAATAATTGAAAGAGGAAGGAAGGTCCAACAATGAGGGCAGCGTTCCAGAAGCTGGAAGACCCAAGGTCAATCTTTGTTCTGCCATAGTTGTCTTTTGTAAAGCTGGGCAAATCACTTTGGTTTTGTCCCCAGCTATAAAATGTGGATAACACTCAATGAAGGGTTTAGATAAATTAATTAAAGATTATGAGGCTCTGAGATATAGTATACTTCCGCTGTGTTTTACTGTAACATGTCTTTGGTTTGGTAAGGACGAATTGAGGCCTTGTCTACACTGGCAATTGAGTGACAAAGCTTTTGTGGTTCACAGGTGTTTAAACACCTCCCCCGCCCCAGACAAAAGCTTTGTGGAGGCAAAATACTAGTTTAAACAGTGCTTTGTTGGCAGAAGTACTCTCCTGCTGACAAAGCAAACCACTCATAAAGGATGGAAGAGCCAACAAAAAGCATTTAGACTGCCTGTCTTTTAGCGGACACGTTGACATTGCTAGCTCCCCAATCAATAGACAGAGAATAGCAATGTGGATGAGCATCCCACAGTTCAGTGTTGAGGGAAGGCAGAGCTGTACTTCTTGAGATTCGCTCCTAGCTCTGTGAGCTTTCCGTGGTGAGGAATGTCAAAGCAGCACAGCTGTCTCTCCAGCCCTTCTGCAGCAGCAGAACAGTAGCATTTCAATTATTAGTTTTGTGTTTGTTCCGCAATTGGAGCAGCTCACTCAGCTGTCAGATACTTGCCAGAGCTTTGAAAGGGAAGGGGTGCATGCCTGCAAGGAGCAGAGAAAACAAAACACTGAGCACAGCCATCAGGGCAGGCATTGTGGGATACTGGTGGAAGCCAGTTCTCTCGACAAAACAAACAGAAAAGTCCACACTAGCACTTTGTCACTAATAAAGGGAGGGGGAAATACAGAAGTACAGACTAAATTCAGGTTGGGAACCTCTCTAATCCAGAATTCTCTGATCTGGCATGGTGTTTTAGTTAGCTGGATGTCCACTTATCATGGCTGTGGCCTAGTTTCCCATAGTTGCATGAAGTTTGTTTACACCCACCAGTCTTAACTCTTAGGCTACATCTACACTGCAGGTTTTTGCCGGAAGAGAGTATGCTAATGAAACGGTCATTAGCATTTGTTGCGCTGTCATTTGCATATTCTCTGCCGATGCTTTTTGCACATAAGGTTTTTGCGCAAAAACAGGCAGTGTAGACGGGTCCATTTTGCGCAACCAACCCCCCCCTTTTGTGCAAGATTCTTATATCTCCTTTTTTGAGGCATAAGGATCTTGTGCAAAAGGGTTTTTTTGGTGCAAATTGGACCTGTCTACACTGCTTGATTTTGCACAAAAAGCATCAGCAGAGAATATGCAAATGATAGTGTGACAAATGCTAATGAGCGCTTCATTAGCATACTCTCTGCCAGCAAAAACCTGCAGTGTAGACGTAGCCTGAGTGTTCTGTGCTGTTATTTAGCTCTAATTTAACTGTCTTCTAAGAGACCAGGAAGCAGGGGACATGTCGCTAATGCTGCTATACAATGTTGACCTCCTGTGGTCTGGCAAATTTTCTGGTTCGGCACCTGTCAGGTCCCCAGGGTGCCACACTAGAGAGGTTCAACCTGAACAAAGTTAAGGATTCTTAGGTTCTTTTGCCCTACAGTTTACAATCGACTTTCTATTTGGAACTACTATATGTAGTGGGAGGATATGTTTGAGCAAAAGCAATGAGATCCAATGACATGTCTTGGTTTCAATTCAGAAATAATTGATCATTTCTTGCTATGAGGTGTTTTTAACTGTACTTCATGAATATGATAGTTTAAGAATTGAGTTTTCAGGTTCTGGAAGAGAATAATGCAGGATTTCTTTGGCTTGAGTTTTAGGCAATTTCACTCAGATGAACGGAGAAGGAGTGGTGTCGGGGGTCAAATCTCTGGGACACTGGTCTTAGACTAGTGTCATATATAACTGGTGTCCAGAACTTTGTGTATGTTTCCATCTCAAAAACCAAAATAAAATATGTTGTTTTAGAACAAGCTACTCTCCTCACACTAAAAGACTGTTGGAACATACAAATGTTGACATTTTGATATGCTGCTTTCTTTACAGAAGTTGAAGATCCAGATTATGTTGATGTTTTACCTTAAATCATCTGGGAACTAGTTTTGGTCAGAATCCATCTCTTATCCTGCCTTCCATCTCAGCAGATCAAATATAAAGAACTTGCTCTCAGAACTTTTCCTTGCACATACCACATCTGCTGGCTGGACATTATCATCAGTGGATTTGTGCCACTCCTCAAAGCAACAGACTTGTATTCTGTGGGACACAATACAAGTTATATTTATTTTATTCATTATTAGATTAATTTATTTGTGTTTTAAATTTGTTTTTACCTTTTGCTAACTGAAGTTCTAGCTGCCACAGTCTACAGCATAAACAATGTGGATACCTGTGGCATCTTAGAGACTAACAGATTTATTAGGGCATAATAAAGCCTATGCCCTAATAAAACTGATAGGCCATGTCTAGACTATGGAGATGATCAACGCTGTGGCAGTTGATCTTCTGACGTTCAATTTTAGGGCAGGACTACTCAATTTTGGAAGCCCTGGGGTCCACAATGATACTCACAGCACATGCCGAGGGCCTCAACTTAAGTGTAGTTTCAGATACATGCAAATATATATGCAAATATTTGCAAATAGCTTCTTTAACACTGACGGACATGATACAAAGCACTTCCCACAATGCCCCAGTGCTCCTGGCACTTCCTCTCTGGGAGCTAGAAATGTCAACACCCTGTATCTGTCTGTTCCAGCCAGCTCGTCCGCTCGTGTCTTTCAATGCTCACCCTGCCCGGGAGATGCCATGCCATTGTGGAGCGTGTTCCCAGGGGAGGCCATATTCACAGATCCCACCTATGGGCCATGTATTGAGCCCTGCATAAACCTAACCTCACTGTGGGTCGCAAACCAACAGACCACGGGCCGCATGTTGAGTAGCCCTGATTTAAAGGGTCTAGTAAAGACCCACTAAGTTGAATGCTGAGGGTGCCCTCGTCAATGCCAAAACTCTTACACTTTGTGAGGAGTAGAAGGGAAGTCGATGGGAGCATTTCTTCTATTGGCCTCCTGCTGTGAGGCTAGTGCTAAACTTAAGGTACATCGACTCCAGCTACTTTTTTTTTACATAGCTGGAATTGCATATCTTAAACTATCTTTTGGCTGTAGTTTACACCTGGCCTGTCTCTAAGATGCCACAGCACTCCTCCTTGGTTTTGCAGATACAGACTAACGTGTCTACCCCCCAAGACTAGCCTACAGCATGTTAGGAAATAGTAAGTAAATATGCTAACTGTACATGCGTAGATCAAATAGTAATGGCAGAACTGAACCTACTATGATACAAACTGAGTAGACTCAATAGGATGTTAAAAACCTGTTTGTTATGTGCTTGTTCTTTGCATATGAGACATTAGTTTTGCAGTGTTTTCAGATAACTGGTTGGTGTATTCAGCTTCAGAATCTTTACTATCTTGAAGGAACCATACTATCCTGTAGCACTGAAACAACCTCAGGCTGCTGGCAAAAGAAGTACAGAAAAAACTCCAATAGTCGGGCATCCAATAGTCCGGCACTCCTGATAGTCTGGCATCAAAATGGCAAGAGCCTAGATAGTGAGCTTCGACAAAAAATGAGTTACAAGGTAACAGCGGCAACAGCTGAACTGAGCAAAAAGGGTAAAAAAGGCTTAAAAAAACTAAAACATTATAGTATACTGTATACAGTATGTACAATAAAAAGGGTTAAGAACACTTTATATATAGTATATAATGTATATATATATAACCATCTTATAGTACCTCCTGATAGTCTGGCATATTTGATAATCCGGCACCACCTAGGTCCCATAGATTCTGGATTATCGGAAGTCTACTGTATTGGAAATGGAAGATATACTGTAAAGTGTAAATAAATGAGTTGGGCTGTTTTTATACTTATACATGGTACTGCTAAAGACTTATTTTGAGGACTGCAAGTTTCTACAAAGATGCATTTAAGAACAGTTTGATTGTTTTTATATTTAACATTTGTTTTGAGAATTGCATTTGTCGCATGCATTTAAAACAGAAAACAAATGACTCTGTGGTGCCTGCATTTCTTTTTTTTTTTTTTAACAAGAGTTGACTTTAAATAATTAAACCAGGGATCTGCTTATTATACATTTTTCTTCTGAAGGTCACCATTTGTGGAAATAGTGTGACATTTTTACTGCTAAAAAAAGAAACCAATAATACTGACTCTGTTTTTGGTCTGCCAATGGATTGTTCTTTGACCTCTGGCAAGTCATTTAACTTTGCTGTATGTGTTCCACATCCGTAGAAAGAAGATACAAAGGCATGACAAAAATTGATTGTTTAATGTATGTAAACTGCCTTGAGAGCTTCAGGTAACATACTAGATAATTGTGAATTTTGACTACTGGCTCATTGTAAATTTAAAGGGCTGGTCATTCCACATTTTGTAAGCCGGGGTGGGCAATAATTTCTGATGGGGAGGCCATGCCAAGATTTTGGTAAGTGGCCAAGAGTGACACTTTTTTGTGGAGGGGCTGTGGGGTCTGGGTGCAGAAGGGAGCTAGGGATAGCAGACTGGGGTACAAGAAAGGATTCTGGCCTGGGGAAGGGGCATAGAGAGGGTGCAGGGTCTGGAAGGGAGTTGAGGGGAGGAAGGCGCAGGGTGCCAAAGGCAGGCTCTGGCCGGGAGGTGCTTAACTAAGCTGTGCACGTGGTTCTCTGCACTGCCAGAAAGGGAGCGGAGAAGGGAAAGGATTCATTTGCTGCCTCCCCAGCAAAATCTTTTAGCTCCTATTGGCTGATTTCAGGCGGCAGGGGCAGCATGCTGAAGCCTCTCCCCACAGCACAGAGAGCAACACAGAGCAGCTAGCCACTTTTATTGGTGCTGTTCCCGGCTACAGGAATAGACTTGGACCAGATCACAGGGCTTGGCAGGCCGAATCCACCCCACGGGCCATATCTTGCCTACTCCTGTTGTAACTGAAGGGTATTTGCAGTGTTGTGATACAAACAGGTGTTTAAAGTAATCCTTTCACCTCCAAGAAGATTAGTAGACAGCCACAACATTGATTTGCATGGGAAAGTAAGTTGTTGCCCAAGGGAGAAAAAGTGGTTTGGTGTTGTAGGAAAAATCTTAAAGAAATACAGGTATTATTGCTTTATATTAGAGCTCGACAGCCTCCTCCCCATTCTAACATCAATTATCTGAATAAAGTTCATTAACTTTGCTCTTCCTACAGATATCTTTATGGGACTTTTTTTTTATGATTATATTAAATCAACACAAGCCTGAATAAGAAAAACAGTGTTGAAAATGAGTTTTCATTCTGGGGACTCTAGCTTGAAAGTCCCGGAGAATTAACACTCTCTTTACTTGACTCTTCACTAGCTGCAGAACCACTTCAGCACAGGAAACCACAAGTGTCTTTACCCCAATGTACTTTAACTCTAACTTAGAGGGCCACTTCTGAATCAAAATGGCAGTTAGATTTCCTGTTCAACTTTTAGCCAGTGCCCAGTGGGCCAGTCACTATCAATTAAGTGAAATTGTTTTTCTGAGATAAACACTTATATTCTAGAGCAGAGCTAACATAGTGTTATTTCACCCAGGCTACTAAACAACTTCAGGGTGGTTATGATTGTTGGTCATTAGGAGTATGTCTACATTACAGGACAAAGTTGAATTAAGATACGAAAGTTCTGCTACATCAATTGCATAGCTGAAGTAGCTTAACTTGGCTTTGGGCGCTGTATACACAGCAGGAAGTCAAAAAGGACACTCTTCCTTCGACTTCCCTTACTCCTCATGAAAGCAGTTACCAGCATCGACCAGAGTGCCCCTCTCACTTCAAATTAGCTCTCTTAACTAGACCGCTAATTCAAACCTGGAAGATTGACAGTGGTAACTTCAGTCTTCCTCTGTAGTGTAGTCGTACCTTAGGTGACCTAGAGATAAAGGGCGTTTGTATGTTCTCTTATTATCAGTGCTTTAAGTGTGCCATGTCACAGACCCAAAATAATATTGCTAAAGACTGAGCCAGGTAGCAATGCAGACTTCAGACCTGTTTGAGGGAAAACCTTGCTGATTTCATTGGCTGCCTGCCCTTCTTGCCTATATCTGGAATGAAGAACAAGTGATCAGAACTGCTGCAGAAAGGAGAAGAAAACTCTGTCTCGTTCCTCTCAGGAATCCAAGTGGCTCTCAAAGAAAGTGAGAAAAAGGGGCAGAACCCCGCCCTCTTGTGAACCAGACAGGAGGGCTCTTCTTCTCATCTCTCTTCCCTACTGAACCTTGCCTTAAACGGGTCCAGTTATGACATTTTGGCGCTCATCCCCGATGAGTGAGGGGGCTATCATCTTGCCCTGCAATCTGGGTTGCTTCATAATACTTTGCTGCTAGACCACTCACTAGCAGCCAAATAGCAGGCAGCTCACGCCCTGAGGCTATGTCTAGACTACATTCCTTTTTCGTAAAAGGGATGTAAATTAGACGTATCGCATTTGCTAATGAAGCGGGGATTTAAATCTCCCCTGCTCCATTAGCATAAAAATGGCTGCCGCTTTTTTTCTGCACGAAGCTTTCCCGGAAAAAAGCGCCAGTCTAGACGCTGATCTTGCAGAAAATAAAGCCTTTTCCAAAAGATCCCTTATCCCTCTATGAAATAAGGGAAATATTTCATCCTCTATGAAATAAGGGAAATATTTCATCCTCTATGAAATAAGGGAAATATTTCATCCTCTATGAAATAAGGGAAATATTTCATCCTCTATGAAATAAGGGAAATATTTCATCCTCTATGAAATAAGGGAAATATTTCATCCTCTATGAAATAAGGGAAATATTTCATCCTCTATGAAATAAGGGAAATATTTCATCCTCTATGAAATAAGGGAAATATTTCATCCTCTATGAAATAAGGGAAATATTTCATCCTCTATGAAATAAGGGAAATATTTCATCCTCTATGAAATAAGGGAAATATTTCATCCTCTATGAAATAAGGGAAATATTTCATCCTCTATGAAATAAGGGAAATATTTCATCCTCTATGAAATAAGGGAAATATTTCATCCTCTATGAAATAAGGGAAATATTTCATCCTCTATGAAATAAGGGAAATATTTCATCCTCTATGAAATAAGGGATAAGGGATCTTTCGGAAAAGGCTTTATTTTCCACAAGATCAGCGTCTAGACTGGCGCTTTTTTCCGGGAAAGCTCCGTGCGGAAAAAAAGCGGCAGCCATTTTTATGCTAATGATGCGGGGGAGATTTAAATCCCCGCTTCATTAGCAATTGCGATACGTCTAATTTACATCCCTTTTACGAAAAAGGAATGTAGTCTAGACGTAGCCTGAGTGTCTGGGTATAACTGCAGCCTGCCAGCCACATGCTAGTCCCATTCGGACTTTCACCAGATTTGGTTACTATTTGCACAGGGTGATCCCATCAGGCTCCCAGTCCTCGATTTCCCCCTAAGAACATGCATTCTTCACTGTCCAGCCCTGTCTTTAACAGTCCCAATATATGAGGGTTGTTACCCTTTTAGGGGATCAATATACAAGTTTGCTACTTAGTTGTCTGCACAACAATAGATTAATTTTGATTAAAAAATAAAAGTGTAATTGCAAAAAGAGAGGTTTTACATGAATACAGGTATATAGCATTAAAGTCTGGAATAATTACAAAAGAAACCTAGTACTTAAACTTCACAAACTAGACTTGGTTCAAGGTGAAGTCTCTTACCACATCCTCCCAGAAACATAGCTGACTGAATTCTCAGGCCAGTATCTGCTCCTGACATCCAAAAGCTATTTCCTTTGTTATCTTGAGAAGTGAGTCAGATGAACAAAAAGAGATAACAATGGCTGGTTTTGCCCTTTACATTTATCTGTCAGTTGCCCTTTGAAAGGGGTAACTCTCAGACAAATGCCTAAATAAAGTTCCTTGCAACAATGAGGACAATGGTCTTCTGGTGAAGGAGGTTTCACACCATTGTCTGATAAGATGTTGTTCCCAACACCTTCACTGTGGAAAAAATGGTGACTTGGTAGGTAATGGCCTATCAGTTCTGACATAATCTGGCCAGATGTGTAAGTGTGTCTTTAAGAACCACTTCCCAGACATATCTAGTAAACACATTTCAGTCATGAGTTTAGCTCATGTTCATAACTTTACATATAATGTTGCTACAGACATCTCACTGTATTATTGACCAGGACATTTTGTTGTTCAAATGAGATCTCAAAAGGCATATTGTGAATAAAGGAGTGCATTCTGCTACACCTACATGGGGATCCTCCTGCAGAGAGAGAGGGGGTAAAGAACACCAGGGCTATGTCTACACCAGCGCGTTATTACGCAAGAAGGGCCATGCTTCTGCAGAGCGTCCCCCACGAAAGCTCATCATCTAATAAACCATCTTGTTAGTCTTTAAAGTGCTACATTGTCCTGCATTTTGCTTCAGCTACCCCAGACTAACACGGCTACATCTCTATCACTATCCCACTATCCACTCGCTCTTGCATAAGAAGATTTACAGTAAAGCGTGGTAAAAGAGGGCTTCTTGTGCAAGAGCTACGCTCTTTTCTAACAGATGTAAATCCTCTTGCACAAGAGCTCTTGTGCAAGAGGGCAGAGTGGATGCACGACAGGGGTTTCTTGTGCAAAAAAGCCCTAAGGCTAAAAGAGCCATCAGAGCTTTCTTGCACAAGAGAATGTCTTCACTGCCATGGATGCTCTTGCGCAAAAGCATGTCTTGCATATGGCAGTGTGGACGTGTTCTTGCGCAAGAGTTCTTGCTCAACCCTTGAGCCAGAACCCTTGAGCAAGATGTTCTTTCGCAAGAAGCCGCCAGTGTAAACATAGCCCTTGAGTCCTCACTCATACCTTTGCCTTCTCTGTGCCCCACTCCCACCCCTTTGGAGCCAGTGTTGGGGAGAACAGGCTTTTAAACCAGCTCTTCCCCCCAGCACCAGCTCCTGCTTTCTCAGCATGGGGACAATGTGACAGTTATGAGTGTGGGTGGTAACAGAAGCATCTTAACCCACTTCTTCAGATGAGTGGACCGTGCCCACAAAAGCTCATGCTACTATATAGGCTATGTCTACACTGGTGGGTTCTTGCGCAAGAACAGCTGTTCTTCCACACAGCATCCATGCTGCCCGCCTGCTCTCGTGCAAGATTTAAAGTTAAGCATGGTAAGAGAGGGATTCTTGCGCAAGAGCTACTCTCTTTTCTAACAAGTGTAACAGGACCCCTTATGCAAGACGGCAGTGTGGATGCACGGCAGGGGGTTCTTGCGCAAGAAAGCCCTATGACTAAAATGGCCATCAGAGCTTTCTTGTGCAGGAGAGCATCCACACTGCCATGGATGCTCTTGCGCAAAAGTACATGGCAGAGTGGATATGTTTACACAAAAACATCTTGCACAAGAACCCGCCAGTGTAGACATAGCCAAGCAATCCCTGCTCACCCCAGGTCCTGACTGCTGCGCTTCCACCTTTTAATTATAGTAAGAGTTGCATGGGCAGGTCTTACTACATTTAAAAGGCAGGGGCACAGCGGGGATAGCGAACGCCCCACCTCACGCCCTTATGGACTAATCCGGTAGTAGTGGGTGGACATCCCAACTGCACGATTAGCTGATGAATCGAAGGCTACGTCTACACTGGCCCCTTTTCCGGAAGGGGCATGTAAATTTCACCAGTCGTCGTAGGGAAATCCGCGGGGGATTTAAATATCCCCCGCGGCATTTAAATAAAAATGTCCGCCGCTTTTTTCCGGCTTTTAAAAAAGCCGGAAAAGAGCGTCTACACTGGCCCCGATCCTCCGGAAAAAGCGCCCTTTTCCGGAGGCTCTTATTCCTACTTCAAAGTAGGTGAAATTTACATGCCCCTTCCGGAAAAGAGGCCAGTGTAGACGTAGCCAAAATGTAACATCCCGCCCCAGGACACCCATCCGGTCTCTTGCTCTTCCAGGACAGCCTGGGGCAGGGGCTGCAGCTCCCAGGCACCCTCCGTGCCCGCTGGCTGGAGCAGGGGGGCTGCACTGCTGCTACTGCCAGCACCA